ATTTCTGATGGGTTCATTCTTGAGGGTGTTGATTGCAGTGGTCGTGGAGATGCACGGACAGGTTTTGCATATATTGTTAAGGCAGGATTGCATCTAATTTGGTGTCTGTTGATCAGCAGGGCTTTTCATAGAATCATAGAAGTAGGGTCAGAAGGGACCTTGTAGATCTTCAAGTCTGACTCCCTGCCTGGGCAGGAGAAAAATCTGGGCTCAAATGATCCCAGCTAGGTAAGCATCAAGCCTCCTCTTAAACACCCCCAGGGTAGAAGCCAGCACCACTTCCCTTGGAAGTTAGTTCCAGATCCTAGCTCCCCTAACTGTGAAGCAGTTCTTACGGATGTCTAATCTAAACCTACTCTCCAACAACTTGTGGCCGTTATTCCTTGTTATGCCAGGGGGCACTAGGGGAAACAAGTTCTCTCCCAAAACCTTCTGGTCTCCCCTAGTGAGTTTACAGATGGTCACCAGGTCCCCCCTCAACCTTTGCTTGTGAAGGCTGAACAGGTTCAGGTCCCGCAGTCTCTCATTGTAGGGTCCGCCCTGTTGTCTCCGGATCATTTGGGCCCAATTTTGCGTCCAATGATTAAAGTTGGTGGAGGGAGGGTGTTGAAAGTCAGGAACAGAAATGTTGGGAATATTTTTCTCAAGGCCTGATTCTGTTTGATGATCTGTCTTTTCAGGTCCAGTGTGGGATGGTAAGTGACAACGAGAGGTGTGTGGTCAGTTCATTTTTTCTTTTTATACTGCAGAAAGTAATGTCAGGGTGGCTCTTCCAAGGTATAGACTGTTATTTCTTTGCTGGTAATGACCGTTTTTAGTTTGGTCAGGCAGATGTCACAAGAATTCTTCTCAAGAGCAGATGTGTTGATATCTGAGGGCCTCTCTATAGACTTCAGGTTTCTTGGTATGCCTGGGTTGATTGCTGGTCTTGTGGACATAAGCAAGATGGTTTGAGGTTCTCGGATACAGTGAGTTTTACGGTACCATCCCAGCTGCGGATTGTATTATTTAGGAAGTTGATGTTAGTGTAGGAGTATACCAGAGAAAATTTGATAGAAAGGTGAGTTGTTGAACCTGTGATGGAAGTCAGTAAGCAAGTCTAGGTGTTCAGTCCAGTTGATGAAAACAGTATGTGCAATGTAAGTATAGTGGTTTTCTAAAAATTCTTCTTCCAAGTGGATCATGAAGAAGCTGGCATATTGGGCAGCTATATTTGTGCTCATAGCTGTATTCTTGGAAGAAGTTTGGAAGATGTGTCAGTTGTTGAAAGTAAGGCTGTGAGGGAAGATGTAGCATATTATTTGAGCAATACATTGTGCTTGCAAATCTGAGGGTAGTTTGTGTTCTTGTAACTGTTTCAGGCAGGCATCTGCACCTTTGTGGTGTGGGATGTTAGTGTACAGGCTTGTGGCAGCTATAATGCCAAGTATGGCCTTCTCAATTTTTTTGCTCAGGGTGATCTATAGATCACCTGCAGAAGACAGGCCTGAGAACAAAAATTCATAATCTTACAGGACACTAAAAATCAGAGATTAAACATACACTCTGGTAGCAAATCATAAGAATCTACCTGCAATCTCTGCTAATATTTCTGCAATGCACAGGTGATAATGTTTCTGATCTTGATGAAGAAGTCTGCAGAAACCTTGCTCCTTGATGATGAGTGACACTGGGGTAAGATACTCCATACAGGCCTATTCAGTCATTCTAAAATGAAGAGTATTAATCTAAAGCACTCCATTGCAGGCTTTACACAGTTTGAATTGGTATAAGTTACAGGTTATGAATGACAGAGTAGGACAAACAAATAGTTAATGGAAAAGTACCAGACCTGTAGGTATGTGGCACAGTTTCTGTGCATGCCTGACATTGTACTAAATGATGTGTATACAGGGGCAGATCCAGAAGGTGTGGCAACATGGTTGCACCTCCCTTTGGCTGTGCCTCAGTGAGCTCTCACCACATAGTCATGCCAGAACCCCTGCTTTTGCCCTATTCTGGATCCCACAGGGTGAGCATTGCCACCACCATTCATCCCCTTCCTTCCACTGCTGCTGAATTCAGCAGAGAGTGGGAAGGAGGTGTAGGGAGAACAGCAGCAGCATTCTTCAAGAAGACACTCCTGGGGAAGACGAGGACCAGTGGTAACAAACTAATAGAGGGAAGATTTTGACTGGACAGAAGGAAGAACTTCTCCGTAAGGAAGGGTAATGGAACCTGGAACATACTCCTGGCAGAGGTGGTGCAGTCACCATCCTTAGAGGTGTTTGAGAGGAGGCTGGATAAGCACCTCTTTGAGCTAATTTGAGCTCAGTCCCCTACCATGGGCAGGAGGGTAATGGACTTGATGATCTCCCAAGTCCCTTCCAGTCCATTTATTCTATGATCCATACCCTGTGCTCCAGAGCCATGAGAAAGTGGGGGCTCTGGCCAGATTGTGCTCTGATCAGTTGGTGAACTCTGAGCTTATTGCTCTCTCAGAGCTCTAGCAAGAGCCCAAAGATGAGGGTGGAGAAGAGGGGGGCACACCACCCTTACCCTTTTCTTGGATCCACTACTGTGTATATATAGTTGTATCACACTGGGTATAAGAAAACATTGGAGTTTGACTGAGATGTTGCTTCTGCTGGAAAACATCTTAGCTTGTGGCCATTAAATCCTTGATAGCCCTGCCAGGGGATGGTAAAATAGCCTACTTAATACTACTGTAAATTGTAGTCTTAGAGTTTACTTATTTTGCTCTGTTCTGTATTGTACTACCCTAATAAAGAGTTACGTTTGTACCTGGAATCCCAAACAATTTCTGTTCCTTCTCTCTTCTCTTCAGTTAGCCTTGGGGAAATGGGTAACATAGAAAGCTCTATTCTGTTTTCCTATGAAGCCAGCTAATCAATAAACGTCTTGGGCCATAAGCAATATTCAGGAAACTTCAAGTTCTGGATAACCAGGGTTTGGAGACATAACTTAAAGTTCTATTTGAATTCCTGGAACAACAGTCCCCAAAACTTACAGGAGATACTTTATGGTTCTTAATAAATGATGCTTTTATATATTTTAGCCTTTTGAGTTATGTAAAATGATAGGAACCAACCTGACTTTCCTCACATGTTCCCAATCAACCTTTATCTGATACATCCATGGATATGATGGGTATCATATTTGTAAGGGACATGCATCATGTCTGAAATTGGTATCCTCTTGCATTCTATCTTTAAAAAAAAACAGAAGCGATTCTTTGGGGAACACAGCAGCTTAGGACTGCTTTCCACCAGTTCTTATTCCTTCATTAGAGTCTCCCTTCACAATTACTGGGATTCCTCAGTGAAGTTATTAATGGCCACCTCCAGCATTACATGCTTGGTCTTATACAAATGCACAGGCAAAACTGTCTACAAAGAGAGATCATCATCTTATTTGACATGATAGGCAAAATGTGAGTGGAGCTAATAATTGGAGATGAGGATGAGAGTACAGGTAATGAAACAACTTTGTTATTTTACAACTTGTTTGTGCCACATCACTATAAAAAATATTACATTACATGAACCCAAACAGCTGTCCCTGACAACTGCGGAAAGGGATCTCGGAGTCGTAGTCAACTCCAAAATGAACATGAGTCACCAGTGTGATGAGGTAATAAGTAAAGCTGACCGCACCCTTTCTTGCATAAGTAGGTGCATCACAAACAGGTCTAGGGAGGTGATACTTCTCTGTGGCATTGGTCAGCCGCAGCAGGAGTACTGCATCCAGTTTTGGGTGCTGCACTTCGGGAGGGATGTGGATGGCTTGGAGAGGGTTCAGTGGAAGGCCACTCATCTGGTTAAAGGCCTACAGAAAAAAACCTAATGTGGACCGATTGGGAAACCTGAATCTCTTCAGCCTCTGCAAGAGGAGGCTGAGAGGTGATCTCATGGCCACCTACAAACTCATCGGGGGG